AATTTTCTCGAGCTGAACCCCTTTTAAACTAAAGCAGGGTAACTGCAACCGGTAGATTGAAATGGGAACCACAAGTTACTGAGAGAAGATAGCTTTGAAGTAGGTGTAGCACGATGTGCTGTAGAACGTAGACCGTACATATAGATCAAAACTATGCACTGCATAGACAACATGGTCCCCAATTATTCGTTAAGTTATTCGCAACTTTCAGAATTAAAAGTAAATTTGCAATGAATCCGACCACACTCACCTGTGTACGAGTGATCTCCCGCCATATGTTACCCGACCGTGATTTACAGAAGTCCACTTCACTCTGCATTATTGACTGCATATGTTGCATGTAATTGTAGAGCAATGGCACAGAAACCACACAAACTAATGTTGCCACTGTTGATATGGCGACGCCCACGAAGGCCACCCTGAAAAGGTTTTGTTGAGCGCCGAAGGTGAAGCATATGCCAGGGTGTGCTGAAGCTGACCCGCGATTCGACAAAGGCGTGACAGTAATCATCTGCGCGGTTTTTACTGGGATACGTTTGCGAATGACTACTCACTCACAAAGTAAAATAAATGCGAAGAACCAGTTTCGAGAGATAGGTATTAGAATCGAAAGGAAGTGCAGGTAATGTTTTTTAGCACCTTGGAAAATGGGTAGAATTGCAAACGCCCTTGAAAGATTTGCGATTTTTGACACACGACTGCTTTCTGCTGAGACTTTGTGCTTAGCCAGGCACAAACTCGCAAACTAAACACTTCTGCAACAGAAACCTTCTGTAATAAAAACCAGGCTATTTCAACAAACAATATTGTGCAGTCTCACAAATGGGTCTTGATTTCGTTAAGTGATGGCGAAAATCTCATCAACATTATCATGCAGAGGGTAAGAATTAAATGACCTGCATTAGTTTAAGCCAAAACAACAGCTGCGAAAAATGTTCAAACGTGGTTTTGAGGTTACAGTGAACAATTTGCTAATGCGCAAGTAATACGACAAAATAAATGCGGAATATAACTGCAAAACCATTACAAAGGAAAATAAAGCTATGCGAAAGTACGAATAGGCAGGTGCAGCTGCCAAACTTTTTTCAGGTACTCTAAATTTGGCAAATTCAAATAGGGGCTTTTCTAATACCATTGCTAAGTCAGGCATAACAATAAAGATTAATCTAAACAGCCTTTATAGCTATGTCTCACGCTAAGCAAGGAAGATGTGATGGACAAACGTGTAGATAGTAAGGATTACCTTCGGAGCG